GTGCTGGGGATTGAACTGCAGTTGCTGTGCTTTTGCTTAGCTTAGCTTGTTCTAAGTAGGTGCTTTAGACCACTGAGCCATCTCACCAGCCCCAAAGAAGAGAGCTCTTTTGAAATGAAGTTGTTGAAAGCAATTCTAAAAAACAAAGTAGGATTGGATGATATAAATATTAGCTACAGTCTAAAATAAGTCTTAAAGACCAAATACTACCTCATCAACATTTCTAACTATGACTACACAATAAGCTTAAAATTAACAGTAAAATGTGACACACATGATATGACAGTAAAGATAGAAAAGCAGGCCCATGGCATATCCCCTGAATTTCTGGGGGAAAAAAATCTCCCTCCACTGACAAAGTTTAAGATTTCTTGAAATACTCATAAATGTTGCAGACAGTCCATGCTTCTCTCCAGAACTTTAGTTTTGCTTCTCTCAACTTTTCACATTTCAGAGAAAGCCTCTGTCACACTTTACTACATGTTATCTAGCCTTTTAATGAGGAAGATATGTCAGAGTCCAAGGAGCAATAATGAACCAAGGAAAGGGAAGGTGCAGAGTCATAGCAGGGAGCAGAAAGACCAGATAGACCAAAGGTTCCTTAATGAAATTTACAATTCTAAGCTGATAAAAAAAACTATAGTTATTGTGGCCTTTTTCAGCTAAATGTACTTAATTTAAGGTACTACCTATTATTAAATCATATTCTTTTTACTCCTGGAGAATTAAAAAAGACAATTCTTGCATAAAATAATAGCAGTTGGTATTTGATTCTCTTTAGCGTCATTACTTGGCAAAATAAGTTTCACTATATTTCTGGACCCTAAAATTCAAGTCCGGGAACCACTGGCCAAATCCAACACCGTCACTGCCATCATTGCCCTACTGATACCTGATAATTAAACCTATTTTACTATTGAGAAAAAAGAAATACTGCATTGTGAACAAATCCTGTATACTTTTTGATCAAATCTCACTTTTTTTTTCTTTTTTTCCGGAACTGGGGATTGAACTCAGGCCCTTGCACTTGCTGGGAAAGCGCTTATTCTACTGAGCTATCTCCCCGGCCCTCAAGTCTCACTTTTAAGAATCCTTCCTCACACTAGGCCAAAAGTCTGTCTTCTTCAATTTTCACCCAGTCTTTGGAGGCAATACTAAACAAATGTATTCTTTTTCTCTAGGGGAGTTCTTCAAATATTTAAAGAAAGCTACCATGTTATCCTAAATCTTATCCTTATCAGGCTAAATATCCCTGGTGGGGCCGGGGAGATGGCTCAGTAGAATAAGCACTTCCCTGGCAAGCACAAGGGTCTGAGTTCAATCCCTGGTTCCGCCAATAAATAAATAAATAAATAAATATCCCTGAATATTTTCTTCATTCTATACAGTTTAGTTCCATTACTACAGCTGAAAATCGCAGTTGTTGTTTAAGGGGCCATATCACACTACTCAATCATTAAATTGAGCTGCTGAGTCTTTTAAATAAGACTGTATACAGGCAGGCACATTATGTCATGTTCATTCTACAGCCACACAGTATTTTTTGAACTTTCACTTATTTATTAAATTCAGCCATAAAAATAAAGACTTAGATGAGGTTTGTCTTCTAGTTGCACCAGGTTACTTTCCCTCTTCACCAAGTAAAATTCCTGAAGGCAGACACCATACCTCACAATATTTTTTATAATCCTAAGAACAGCTTACACAGAGTTGAGTGCACATCCATTAAATAACTGGCTTTGCAGTGTTATCTCCTTTACCTTCATATGCAACTTCTATATAAAAAGATTTCAAGAGAAACCATGAAAGTAACTTTCTGGACATGGCCAATGCTAAAAGCCTTGTACACAACACTGTCCTGATCCCCAGAAAGGCTCTGCCTACAAATTCTCTTCACTTGCTTTGGGCGTAGATTTGTGTCAAATACCCTGTCTCCTCTTACAATGATTGACTTAAGGGGGGAAGGGGCCAACCCCAGATGTGAATAAAGACAAGGCATACAAGTTAAAATAGAAATACAGCACCCTAAAATACTTGTGTAAAGAATTCAATAAAAATTACCTTCCAAATTCAGACATGTGTTCTGAAGGTCTAAAGAATAGGAAGGGAAACAATCAGCATGAGTTTGAATAATTTGAAAAGGCTTATAGAGGTGAGAGAATTTAAACTGAGCCTTGATGGAGGGCAGGTTGACTCCAAATACATACAAGTCAGGGAGGAAGTAGAGGAGGTGACAGGATAAAGAGACTCAAGTGTGGGAATAAAAACCTAATGTAGAGGTAGGCATCAATATGGTTTGTGCCGAAGCTGGCTAATACCAGCATAAGGAATAGGCTATATTGAAAGGTTTGAAACCACGGTGTATCAGAGGGTATAAAATTTTTGCAGAGGAGTGACTTGAGGAAATCCACCATGTTTAATTAGTCTATATAGATGCAGCAAATACAATGGATGACAAACAGTTGAGACAGGGAGACTGGCTTAGGATGGTGAGGAGTGAAGCAGGTAAGGATGCCTGTTGGCAGTGAGATTGGGGGTAAATTTCTAAAATGGAGACAAAAGGTAAGTACACCATTAAGTAGCGGGGTAGGAGAACGAAGAAGAGGGCAGTGTTTATGACGACTCTAAACATGTCTAGCCTCACAGATAACTATAAATGTTTCAGCTGTTACCTTGACTGAGAAACTATTTCATGTTAATAATAACTGTCATCCCAATCAAGTAAATGAACTGCATTTTAATAGATGCCTTCAATGCCTTGACATCAGGAGTGGCACGGGAAACACTGAAGTGGAACATCTTTCAACAGCATCTCTCTCACTAATACAATGGAGGTGTTTGCTTACTCCGCTTACAATCACTGCCGCCGTTGCAAACTTCACCCTTAGAAAAATTAGGATTATTCCAGGAAAGATACCCATTCACCCTCTGGGTAGCAGAATCTTGCCAGTTCCTCGGCTGTCGGGGCGAGTTCTTGGAGAAAAGGGGGGTGCCTGAAGGAGGCGACCGCCCGGGGGGGTCGAAGAAGCACGGCTCTGTCGAAGAAGTAAAACCACCGTTGTCAGAAGAGTGAAAGACAGGGAAAGGACTCGGCGGAGGGGAGAGAGAGACCACAGGACCGCTAAGCCCCTCCCAGGGCCGGGAACCAGGCCAGCCCAGCCCGCGAGGCCTGGCGCGGCCCAGCCCAGCTCCCCCGCCTGGAAGTCCAGGAGCTCCCCCTCACCTGTTCGGGCTCTTCAGATGACTGGGAAGCCCAGGCTCCCACGGTCGGAAACGGCACCGCAACGCCAACCCGGAAGCATTGATACCAGCGGAAGTAACCAGGGTGTTGCCTCGGCAACTGTGGCAGCCCCTGTAGCCCCGCCCCTTCAAGACAAAAAAAAAAGGCGCGAAATGAAAGGCAGCTTCACGGGTCAAAAGGGGGCCTCGGGAAGGCTGGGGGATCGGGGAAGGACAGGGTTGTAAAGGCTCAGAGGGGGAGGTATAGAGGAAGGGCATCAGAGCGTGAGAATTTGACAGCATCTGCAGTTTTTGTGCTCGCCAGCGGGGGCAGAGTTGTCGCTTTGTCAACGCGTTACTCCCCACCCGACACAAACGAGATTAGTGGAAGCTGAGCAAGAAATGCCAACAGAGTCGCCCGCCGCGAGAGGAGGGGCGGGC